GAGCAGGCTTCATCTTCTGAAGTCAAAAGCAGTGGTTCAGCTCCCAATTTGAAACGCAGATTGTCTGTACCAGAAGGTGTTGCGTTGAAAAAGTGCTCTGTCCCCCTTAAACGATGGAAACAGGAATCCGATTGTGGCAAATGCACAATGCAGAGTAACGCAGTGTCTGAAGTACTGGTTTCTAAGGAAACACATACACATGTTAGATATGTTCAAGGGACTTTTCATCAAGCCCATAGCAAATTTGGTGCAAATGCGGGAACTCAATGTGTTGCCATGTCCTTGGCAGCTATGCTTTTGCACAAGAGGCTAAGTGTAATGACTTGGAACACACAACAGCTTGATGATGTTGTCAATAGTGGCGACAAACTGTACAGTTTTTGGACTGAAACCGATTGCATTTCTGACCATTCACCGTCTGGATATCTTCTCATAAACGAATTGCCAACCATCATCACTTTAGATAATCGCCCGTGTGGCTTGGAATACAGCAGCCCTGTAGTTGGACATCTGTATGAAGAAGAAGGAGAGCTCCTGACCAATGGAGTAGCATACACTTTGAAGGATGGTCTGATGAAGATCTTTGAAACATGTGATCACTTTTTCATTACAGTTCACGTGAACACTTGTGCTATTTTCCATCAGGATGAACAGTATGTTGTTTTTGACTCGCATGCACTTGACACAGATGGCAAGGCATTTAGTGCAGGAAAAAGCATAGTTTTATACTATGGGACACTTCTAGATTTGTGCTTTCACATTCGTGGTTGGGGTAGACGTAACTCACAACAACTAGGCAGGAATCAATTTGAGATCACAGGACTTACTCTGAACAGCACAGTGGATATTTTTCACCGCAGTGCTTCTTGTGATGGGAGTGCAGCTTCGTCTACTGCAGAAGTCCATCATATTGCCCCACAAAAACCTGAACATGCATTTTGTGGACAGCAACACACAGTGAGCCAGTGTACAGACACGACTACCAATGCTGACTGTGTAGTAAAACTGGAACAACTATCCGAAGATCCTATTCAAGAGGTAGGTGACAGTAACTGTGTTTACGACTCGGATGATGGATTTCTTGGAGCAACAACAATGGAGTATCAGTTCAATGTGTTGGCCAAAGACACAGCGCAAACTTTGTGTAGTCAGTTACAGTTGGAGTACAGGAAACTTGGAGATGTCCTCAGTGGATCGATTGGTGCCCTCGGTGTCCCGTGCACAACTGACAAAATTGTCGGTGATGGCAACTGCTTTTTTCACGCTTTATCACAAGTGGTGTGTGGCAGCCAAGAATCCCATCTCATGTTCAGGCGTAAGATCGTTAAACACATGAAGTGCAACGAGGAGCACTTTAATAGTTTGGTCAGAGAAGAGTACTCCAATAGTTTGAAGGACTATTTGGATAAATCCAAAATGACTCAAACACCTGGACAACAGAGGTAGAAATCCACGGTGCTGCAAACCTTCTTGGATTAGATATCTACACACACATCGGTGACCACTGGTTGAAATACAGCTGTACAGGCCGAAAACTTTCAGAGCAGGGCATTTATTTGAAAAATTGCAATGGAAATCACTACGAACTAGTTGTTTGCACAAAGAATGGGAATTCGTTGGAATGTCATAACTTGTGTAACATTCAGCCAACGGGCTACGCAAAACCAATGCTAACGAGGAATGCTAATAGGGCCAATGTTGAGAAAAAGGTTGGCAATGATATGTCTGAGACAAAGTCCACAGAGATTGACAGCTCTTGTTCAAGTAAGACTAGTTCTCAACTTCGAACAGATTCAAAGTATATGAAAAACCAAAAAAGGTCATCTGATAAACAGAAGTATGAAGAGGATACATTTCGAGACATTAAGAGAAGGGCATTGGTTGCCAAATATCATGATGATGAACCATACCAACTCAGTTTGAAGAAAGCCAGCATGCAAAAATATCAAGACAATGACGAGCATAAAGCAGCTGTGTGTAAAGCTAGCATTCAGAAATATCACGACAATGACGAGCATAGAGCAGCTGTGTGTAAAGCTAGCGCGAAAAAGTATTCCACAAACACGAACCATAGAGTGTCATTGCAACTGGCTAATAAAAACAAATCCATTCAGGTAAAACGCAATAAGCGTTCCTTTGATTCTGTTTTGAAACTGTTTAATGACACCATAAAGAACGGTCCTGATTTTGTGTGTTGTTCCTGCCTTAGTCTTCGTTTCAGAAAGCAAGTGGTAATTTGCAAGCGCAGTAGTTACCAGAGAAACGAAGCCACAAGGACTGCAGCCGCACGATGTATCACAGAAGAGTATTTGCACAAATGTGATAATTGTGAAACGCCCTGCAAATTGCTAAAGTCGCCAATGGGAAAGTTATGGATCTGCCGGGATTGCCATGGCAAAATACTTCGAGGTCAAATGCCACAACTGTGCGCTGCTAATAACTTGCACTTGCATCCGATACCTTCAGAATTGAGTTGTCTGAATATTATAGAGATGCAGTTAATCAAGATACACATCCCTTTTATGAAAGTGGTGTGCTTACCGAGAGGTGCACAAAATGGTGTGCATGGACCAGTAACATGTGTTCCAGCAAACATTACTGCCACAACGCATGTTTTGCCAAGGACCAATGAAGATGGGATTCTCGAGAGTCAAACTGAAACGCAAATTGTCACACACGGGACATTATTTATACCAATATGTCAGTATCGATCGAATAAGGAGAGCGTTGCAGTGGTTAAAAAGGACAAACCCTTATTACGCTAATGTAGACTTCAATGACGATTGGTTAAATCAATATGAACAAGACCTCGACGAAGAGCATACTGTTGATGACGTACAGCCTGATGAGACATGTCTTGAAGAGGAAACTTTACATGATCGCCAGACTCATGGCATGTTCATGGATACATGCCTTCAGCCAGTGGACCTAGGTCAAGACATTTTAGACCATTGCGATACAACGCTTAACATTGCACCTGCTGAGGGTAACAATCCAGTTCTAGTTCTTTGTGATGAAACCAACAAGGCCAAAAGTTTCCCTGGCCTTTTCCCATTGGGAAGTCCGACATATCACGATTTCAGAAACAACAAGGTGACTTTGGCCAGTTACTTTAAGAACCGAATCATGCATGCGGATGGCAGGTTTTCACGCAATTCAGATTATATATTCTATGCTCAGTACATGACTGAAGTACAGAAGGTGTCGTCGTGCATTTCCATCGCTTTACGGAAAGGACATTCAGGGGGAAATACAGGTAAGATTTCAGCGAACATGGTAAACGACACTGATTCTCTGAAAAGACTTCTTCAATCGAATGAAGGATACCGATTTCTGAAGCCAATTCGTGGCACACCGGCTTTTTGGGCTGGTGCCCAAAAGGATTTGTTTGCAATGGTCAGGCAGATTGGGTTGCCCACTTTCTTCTATTCCTTTTCAGCTGCTGACATGAGGTGGAAGAATTTATTGACCAGCATGATGCTTCAAGAGGGTAGGTGTGACAATGTGGACGATTTGGACTGGAATGACAAATGTGGTCTTTTGCGTCGCAATCCTGTAACGGCTGCACGCATGTTTCAACACAGATGGGAAACCTTTTTGAAAGATGTCATACGATCACCAAGTCAGCCAATTGGGAAAGTGGTAGATTACTTCTATCGTGTTGAGTTTCAACAGAGAGGGAGTCCTCATATACATGCCATTTTCTGGATTGAAGACAGCCCACAAATTGATCGAGACACTGATGAGGAGGTGGTGCGGTTTGTAGACAAGTACATTTCTTGTGAACTTCCAGATGATGATGAGCTACTTGAGGAAATGGTGTCAACTGTGCAAACGCATAGTAAAAGACATTCAAAATCGTGTAGAAAGAAAAACACCGTGTGTCGTTTCAACTTCCCACGACCACCGAGTGAACGGTCCTTTGTTTCCAGAGTAGGGAAAACGGATAAGTCGTGTTCACAACAGGAAGGCGTCGGCAACCAAATGACGGAAGAACAGGCACGTAAGATCATGTCCACGGTCAAAGAGGCAGTCACTGATGAGACGGCTACTTTCAAAACAGTCTCAGAGCTGTTTGGAAGTCTGGGTATTAACCAGGAGCAGTTTGAATCTGCATTTGAATGCATTGGTAAGAAAACCCAGGTTGTACTGAAGCGCAAACCTACAGACGTATGGGTGAATACAATAAACGTTTACTTAGCGCTTGGAATGCTAACATGGACATTCAGTTTGTAGCAAATGCATATGCCTGCATTGTGTACATTATTTCATACATCGCAAAAGCTGAACGTGAAATGGGATTACTGCTCAGCAACGCTCAACGAGAAGCGACAAAGGAGGGAAACACGGATGCCAAAAAGTCCTTGCGAAAGTTAGGCAGCGTTTATCTGCATAATCGTGATGTTTCTGCACAGGAGGCCGTTTACAGATTGACCCAGATGCATTTAAAACATAATTCCCGATCGGTTCACTACATTCCAACAGGAGATAACGCAACGCGTATGAGTCTGCCCCTAAAGGAACTAAAACGTAGGGCAGATTCAAACACTCTCACAGACAACAACATGTGGATGACCAGTTCTGTGGATAGGTATTTGGCTAGACCAAATGAAGACATATTTCCTCGGATGTGTTTAGCTACATTTGTGTCGGAATACAGAGTTCTGTCGAAAAACCAGACTTCTGTTAATAGAGTGAAACTAGGCAAGGACCTAGGATTCGTCCTGAAAAGGACTAAGGGAAAACCTGCAGTGGTGCGCTATGTGCAGTTTTCACATGACACGGATCCCGAGAAGTACTTCAGGAACATCTTGCAGCTTTTCCTGCCTTACCGTGTGACTGAAGACTTAAAACCTGAAGGGTTTCAGACTTTCAAACAGTTCTACCATAACGGTCAATGGTTGCTAGACACTGTGGTTCACAGTGTTAAAACTACTGTTGATGTAAACAGGCGAACATTTGAGAAAGAATCTGAAGTGATGGAACATTCTGACAATGTTTCAGGACACACAGGTGCTCTTGAAGATGCCTGGTGTGAAATGTGTCCAGGGCAACAGTTGGAACGCTTGGAATGTGAACAGGAAGTGAGGGAACGAGTGCCAGTTCCCGACGAATACACAGATGCCATTCCAGACTTGGCCGACGCTGGTGCAGGGGGAAATCGTTTTGATGCACATGGAAACATTATGTGTAGATCGGATGCACTTAATCTTCTCAGATCTCTGAATGTCAAACAGAGAGAGATCTTTTATCAAGTTAGACAATGGTGCATTGAAAGGTAAATGGCACGAACCCAAAACCCTTCAATGTGTTGTTACAGGTGGTGCTGGGACTGGGAAATCGCACCTCATTAAAGCAATCCACTATGAAGCATCTAGGTTGCTGTCACAAGTTGCAAGTTCACCTGATAAAGTGTCTGTGTTGTTAACTGCCCCTACTGGCATTGCTGCTTATAGTTTAGGAGCCAGCACAATACATAGCACATTTTCTATAGGGTTGGATGTCAAACCTCCCTACACGCCGTTAGGAGATGAAAGGGTCAGTACCTTACGTGCTGAATTGAGCGATCTGCAGATCCTGGTGATTGATGAGATTTCAATGGTGAATCATAACTTGCTAGCCTATGTTCACGGTAGACTTAGGCAGATTAAGCAAATGAGTGATCACTCACCATTTGGAAAAGTCAGCGTCATAGCTGTCGGTGACTTTTTCCAACTCAAGCCAGTTCAAGGCAAATCCTTGTATTTGGAGAACATGCTATGTGATTTCTGGACTGAACAATTCTCCATTGCTCATTTAAACACCATTGTACGTCAACAGGACACTGTCTTTGCAGAACTGTTGAACAGGTTGCGTACACGAGCTAAGACCACGGCGCTCGTTGCCAGTGACATAGCTATCTTGAAAAAGTGTGAAACCGGGGAAAGCACTTCAGCGTTGCATATTTTCGCAACAAATGCACAAGTTAATGACCACAATATCAGACAGTTGTCAGCATCATGTCCAGAGAACCTTTGCGTGGAGGCACTGGATTATGAGAAGAATCAACAATCCGGCCGCATGGAATTGAAAAGAGGACACTTCAGAAATGTGTACAAATCCTATTTACCTGAAAGGTTACCGTTGGGAAAGGGTGCACGAGTGATGTTGATCAAAAATATTGATGTGTCTGACGGCTTGGTAAACGGAGTCTGTGGGAATGTCGTAGACATTGTCAACAATATCCACAACACATTTGTGAGCACTGTGTTTGTGAAATTCGATGACGAAAAAGTGGGTACTAACAGAAGGAAGCGTTTCCCTTCAACTAGTGGCAACCCTTTGGCTACTCCCATAAACAGAGATGACGAAAGGATACGCAAGGGAAAATTGCGTAAACAGTTTCCTTTGAAACTAGCATGGGCTTGCACAATCCACAAGGTGCAAGGGTTAACTGTTGACAAAGCAGTCGTTTCGCTTAAAAGAATCTTTGAGTCAGGCCAGGTATATGTTGCTTTAAGCCGTGTCAAAACCTTAAATGGGTTGACAATTCAGGACTTTAAAGACAGCGCCATATATTGCAAAGAGAATATTCAGGATTCCCTTGATGGCATGCCGCCGTTTGTATCCTGTGCTACTACACCCTCACAGGGAACACACTCATTCTCCATATTCTCAATGAATGTACAAAGTTTAGACAGACATTTACCTGATCTAACGGTGGCAATTCAGCCATTTGATTACAGTTGTGTGGCTGTAACGGAAACATGGTTAACTGAAACTGTTGCAAATCACACTGCACGGATTGAGAAATATACGTTTCACAGTGTGCCACGTTGCAAGGCGTACAACTCAACTGACGCTGTTTTGAAAACAATTAAAGACCAACAACAAGGGGGAGTTGGTATATATTGTCAAGACCAGTTAGAGTACACCATTTTGGATATTCCAAATGTGAATTTAGAATGTATTGCCTCGCATTTCACCAGGGAGAATGTGATTGTTGTGGTTGTTTACCGCCCACAAACATATCCATTGCCTCTGTTCAAACTAAACATGAAGCTGTTGACCAGTTTCTTAAATACTAGGTCAGACAACGTTGTCATTTTGGGAGACTTCAACCATGATCAGCTCAAGTCATTGTCAATGTCATCCTTCATGGAACAACTAGGTTACTTGCAGTTGGTATCCGAACCCACAACAGAAAAGGGAACATTGATCGATCACGTATATGGGAAACACACAAGTAAGTATCTCACAGAAACGAAGGTTATCCCGATGTATTTCAGTACTCATGAGGCAGTTCAATGTTTATTAACAAAGAACACCTGAGCTTCAACTGTTTCATTGTGTAACTGACAAAGGACACGAGCGGTAGTTTTGGTTGTGTTTAGACAGTGGAAGCGGGGAGAGACATTCACGTGCCTTGATTCCCTGCCGAGTCGACGCACGACTGTTGTTTGGTGTCAGTGCCACAGGCAACTATTTCGGAGCAATGCGCTCATGGTGAAAATGTAATTTTGGTTGTGTGAAGACGGCGGAAGCGGGGAGAGGCATTCACGTGCCTTAATCCCTGCCGAGTCGACGCACGACTGTTGTTTGGTGTCTGTGCCACAGCAACTATTTTGGAGCAATGCGCTCATGGTGAAAATGTAATTTTGGTTGTGTTTAGACAGTGGAAGCGGGGAGAGGCATTCACGTGCCTTGATCCCTGCCGAGTCGACGCATGACTGTTGTTTGGTGTCAGTGCCACAGCAACTATTTCGGAGCAATGCGCTCATGGTGAAAATGTAATTTTGGTTGTGTTTAGACAGTGGAAGCGGGGAGAGGCATTCACGTGCCTTGATCCCTGCCGAGTCGACGCACGACTGTTGTTTGGTGTCAGTGCCACAGCAACTATTTCGGAGCAATGCGCTCATGGTGAAATGTAATTTTGGTTGTGTGAAGACGGCGGAAGCGGGGAGAGGCATTCACGTGCCTTGATCTCTGCAAGTCGACGCACGACTGTTGTTTGGTGTCTGTGCCACAGCAACTATTTAGGAGCAATCTCAAGGTATAGATAATTTTGGTTGTGTGTAGACGGCGGAAGCGGGGAGAGGCATTCACGTGCCTTGATCTCTGCCGAGTCGACGCACCACTGTTGTTTGGTGTCAGTGCCACAGCAACTATTTAGGAGCAATGCGCTCATGGTGAAAATGTAATTTTGGTTGTGTGAAGACGGCGGAAGCGGGGAGAGACATTCACGTGCCTTAATCCCTGCCGAGTCGACGCACGACTGTTGTTTGGTGTCTGTGCCACAGCAACTATTTAGGAGCAATCTCAAGGTATAGATAATTTTGGTTGTGTGTAGATGGCGGAAGCGGGGAGAGGCATTCACGTGCCTTGATCCCTGCCGAGTCGACGCACGACTGTTGTTTGGTGTCTGTGCCACAGCAACTATTTAGGAGCAATCTCAAGGTATAGATAATTTTGGTTGTGTGTAGATGGCGGAAGCGGGGAGAGGCATTCACGTGCCTTGATCCCTGCCGAGTCGACGCACGACTGTTGTTTGGTGTCTGTACCACAGCAACTATTTAGGAGCAATGTTGTCAACTCCATTACTAACATTATATTCATCTTTTATAAAAACACATTTAAGCTATTCTGCCCCAAAAAATATTGTGACAACTTGTCTGAGGTTATCCACACCCACCAACATAACCATATCTTCAATTACATTAATCTGCAGTCGCATAACATTTATCAAAGGCGCAAACATTCTGTTGAATTGAAATAATGTATTAAATCACACATCAGTTTAACATTTCTTTGTCACGTTTGTAAATAAAAGTTGTATTAATTCATGTTTTCTTCCCATAAGTTCCCTAACCCCCTTTGTCATATCAAAGAGTTGATGGACCCTTCTTTCATGCTGAGGACCAAACCCACTGCCATGACAACAGGAGGTTTTTACTTTATTTGCATGCTGTTGAAGTGTATATCTGTTGTCTGTCTGTCCTGCAATACAGTAAGATAAATATTGAAAGATTACATTTTCAGGCATATATTTCATTTTCCAAATTTCTCCAAATGTATAACTTAATTTAGTGGCATTGACCACAAAACAAATGTATTGCAGGTTTTGCTTTTTGTTAAAGTTTAGGCAACAACAAAAAGCAAAAAAACCACTGGTATGGACTCTCATTTGAGACGGGGTTCAACTCCCTGTGGTGGTTTGATCTATTGTTGTGGTGTAGACAGTTAATTAAAAATCCATAAAGATATAACTGCACAGTCCAATAGTCCCTAATTGTTGACATGATGTGTTTAACTCCTAGGATCAACAAACGACATATCGCTACCTGGTTGATGCAGGAAAAATGGTACCAACACAACTGGCGCACATGCCTAAGATTTCCTGGTCAGAAACAAAGGAACGCAAAGTCAGGTAAACTATTTAGAGGGATGACAAATGGCTCATTTCGGAGGACTGGGGGGGACGACCGGCCGCCCTCCCCGACAGGCGCACGGACGCGAGGGCCCGCTCATCACTGCGCGCACAAGTGCGACCGCAGTTTTAATTCAAATTATATTTGCTCTGAAACTCCAGATGACATAAAAACCTGGCAACTGCAAACAGGGTTGTCATACTCGGTGGAAAGGCAGTCTTAACTATAAACTCAGATCTATAAGACCCCAGTTCAACATGAACGAAAACACCCCAACTTTAAACAATGTCCGTTAACTATTTTTCCTTGGTACACCGCCATTCCTCTCTGGTGCGTAACGCAGCCACTTCTGCACTCCAACCCTGAATGTCAATTCCGTCAGCCTGCGACGAGCAGCAGCTGAAAAAAAAGAAGTTACATTTTTTGTTTATTGAAATAATAATAAGAAAGCTGCAATGGATGCGTTCCAGTGTGTACTGTTTAGTGTACTAGGGTTCCAGGCGGCCTTAATTGAGCAATTCACCCATCAACCACATCTTCATATAATTGATTCACACTATTACTCATTTCTGTCTACTCGCTCTGTGTCTCAGAGGACGGTAGTGGACAGTTCAGAAACGTGCCCATCAGTGACATCATCAATGGTTATTTCCAATTTCCATTAACTAGGAATAATGTCACTGGTAGGCAGGTTTCTGAACTGTCCACAGCCCACCTTTGAGATGCAGAGCGAGTAGACAGAAATGCTGCCATCCTATTATGAGCATTAATGAGGACCACTTATATGAAGATAAGGATAAGAATGGATGGATTTTGCATCCATTCTTATCAACTTGAGAAAGAAATGTAAAAGACTTATGAATTAAATTCAATATTTGCCAAATCTGTTGTAAAGTAGTAAACCTAGTATTTTGAGGTGCAGGCTCACCAAACATGCAATCCTTTATCAGTAGGGGTGTAACGGTACACGTACCGAAACTTCGGTTCGGTACAGGTGTGTACCGAAGTGTACCGAACGAATATAACGTTAAACGTAAAAAATTGAGAACGTGAATAACTTTTGGGAAGTAATCTCAGGTGCTGCGTCGCAGCATTCAGAGTAATTTTCTCACATTGGGTTCAACGCGTCATAGAGCGAGCAAGTAATTTCATTGGATGAGAGGCATACTATGAGAGCTGGTGAGAGGGATGCGTTCAAATGTAGTCAGTAATTTGAGGAACTGTCAAAAATTAATGGCGAACGCAGATAAAGTTGAGCTCGAAAATCCTCCAGCATCATTGAAGTCTCCGGTTTGGGAACATTTTGGTTTCGCAGTTACGTACAAGGATGACGGACAAAGACAGGTGGACCGAACCAAAGCTGTTTGTCGGCATTGTTCAACTAAAATTGGTTACGCGGCTGGCAATACATCAAACTTGCACACTCTTGAAAAGGCATCACCCGAACGTGAATATCACCGGTACCAAAAGAAAAAAGATTGAAGTGCAAACCCAACTCCCACTAGCATTTAAGCCTCCACCACTCACAAAAAGTTCAGACCGAGCCAAAGCTATTACAAACGCCAAATATCCTTATGTTGCCATGTTAGCAAAGCGCTACCTGGCTGCAGGGGCGGCGGGTGCTGTAGGCTTGGGAAGGCTAGCCTTCCCAAATATTTGTGTCACTGCATCCTGGTAAAATAAAAATATAATGTATAATGTTTGTGTCTTTGACATTAGCGCTGCTAGCCACCTGTGCCCTGTGCTACGAAGCCAGTTCAACAGACCCTGGATATGCTTGAGTTATCTTAACTAACCCTAACAAACGAGATCTCGCTAAGCGGGCCTACAACGCTGGTTATCAACTCGGTAAATCAAGCCAGGGTTTCTCTCTCCAGCTGAGAGCGCGTTCACGTTAAAGGGGCGGGGTTAGCAACATTTGACCAATCACAAACAGGGACAAGTGTACTGACAGCGCAGCGTCATACTTCATTAATGAAAAGTAAACTAATATTAGACAAATATGAACTTTAGACATCCATGACTTAAAACATATAATCCAGGATACAAGCCACAGAGGTTGCTGCAAGGAGAATACAGAACAACTCGTTAAAAAATAAATAACTACAGAGTGTTTGAAAGCGTACAACAGTTTTATGATACTGCCCCATCTAAAACACGAGGGGATCTGACTTTAATTACATTTGAGTTGAGTGGTTTCGTCAACTTAATGTGTTGCTTAAAATAATACATCTGCATACAGTCTGTGACACTGTAACTAAGTGTTGCAAGGCCAGATACGGCTCAGCTGACTCAGATAAGGAGATATTGTGATATCGATGTGTGATCGATGATCTGATTGATGATGTGATATCAGTGTGATATGATGATAAATTGCGACACGTCGGCGCCTTCTTCTGCATACGCAGTTTAAAACGGTATTTCCTTTATCCTGTAATATGACTTGATAGATTTAAACTCCGCACACTGAGCTCTGATCGGTCAGCAGGCGGTGCTTTCACTGAGTTGATCTCTTTTCTATAGACCGCCGGAGGCGGGCAGCGTCAGGTAAAAAAAAAGTGATTTAGCCTTCCCAAACCTGAGCCTCACGCGCCGCCTATGCCTGGCTGTATCGGCTACCCTCTGTCCCTAGCGAGAGGGTGTTCTCCACAGCAGGAGACATTGTTAGTGCCAGCAGATCTGCCCTTTCGGCAAGCAATGGGACAAGTTAATTTTTATTTAAAAAACATGAAAATACAATGACAAGCAAGTCCTAATGTCAAACTGGCTGCTTAGGTGCTAGTACAGTAGGCTACAGTTCAAATACAGATTATTTCAGTTCATCGAAATGCTGCACCTTAATGTTCATTTTATTTTGTATTTTTTTGAGTGAATATTCAGTTTAATAATAATTAAAAACCCAAAACTAATAGTTTATGTTTTGTGAGTACTAGTACAGTAAAGTTCAAATACAGATTATTCCAGTTCATCGAAATGCTGCACCTTAATGTTTATTTTATTATATTTTGTATTTATTTGAGTGAATACATTATTCACAGTTTAAATAATAATACAATATATATATATATGTTTTGTTTTGTGAAAAAAATTCTGCTGTACCGAAAACGTACCGAACCGAACCGTGACCAAAAACCGAGGTACGTACCGAACCGAAATGTTTGTGAACCGTTACACCCCTATTTATCAGCATGTCCTTGAAGGCCCTCTTCTCTCCCTTTCCCACCCAGTTGAAGATGCAGGCTAGACTGTTTGTCATGGCAGCGGATAGCATTCGCCGGATCATATTTTCCGAGTTGGTCCCTCCGACTAATGCCAGACGAGAGAAAATGATTAGTGTGCTACAGTGTACTATGTAAATAGACATCTTCTCATTTATAAATACAAATGTAATGAATTTGAATACATTTGTATTACCTCTAAGGAAGAAATAAGACCACTACTGTGTCCAAACTAATCGACAAACAATGCCAACAACCAAATTGGCAATCCTAAGAAATTGTCAAATATTGATTAAGAAAAATATTATCGTGATTCGCGAGGCGTATTTTTACAATATTTCTGTCAAACACACATCCAAGTGAAAAAGAAATGTAATGCATCCACTCCTACAATTCCAGACATAAGCCCTTAAGATTTCAAACAAGAAATGTAAGATTTTTAAAACTTATAAGGATCCACAGGATACCTGCAAATGCATACAGAAAATATTAGAAGCCTCGACAGATTATAGAGAAAATGCTTTGTGTAAAAATTGTTCACCATCTTTCGACGGACTGCTTCCTCCCTCAAGAGCAGCTTCAGTCTCATCAAACTTCTCCTCGTTGGTGAGTGGAAGCATTATGGGGAAGTTGTCTTCTTGTGACTCTGGTCCAGCTCCATGAATGTTTAGTTTAGCAAGTTCCGTCTTTATAAAGTTAATGTCACGTGAGATCTGCTTCACCTCCATACATAGCTCGGTAAGCATCTTCGTGGTTCTCATGGCAGCAATGTCTTGAAAAATAAAAAAATAAAGGTTTTAATTTACATTTCAAGGATAGATTTTTAATTTCCAATCATTTAGAATGACACTAAGTAACTCACTCAAGTGTTTGCCAACAGTAACCATTAAAGCTGCACTATGTAACTTTCCTATTTACCCTGATTTGAACACAGGTCTCCAGCACAACTGCTGAAATATTTACCACTGAGTTTATAGAGCCTGCCTGCTTGCTCGGGGGGAGAAATTGACCATAAAGTCATAATTTTTGTCAAACCAAGGTCATGTCTCACCTAGATAAAGGATCTAAATGTCTCAATAGAAGAGCAGGGAGACCAAAATCAACCACCCCAATTGTAAGTTATATTGTATTAACACTACCATACAGATTGGACAAAATAACATTGTAATCACAAAAAGGTTACATAGTGCAGGTTTAAGTGCTTACATTTTAAGCCTTAACACCATGACAAAAAACATGAAAAGATGGGAAAGTCACAAGGGATAGGTTTCTCAATTCAGAAGGCATCAGTCCGGTTAAGAACCTGCTCAGAAAATGATACTTGCCTTTTCAACACTCTGCTTGATTCCTCTCCATATAATCTCCCCCGTGGTGTTTCTGGAGCTGAAGGGGGGTGGGATGGGTGCTGCGGGGTCAGGTGAGCCAAGCCCGTGCGCTGAAGTCAGCTAATCTTGAGCCATGTGCATAGCTGGCACCTGCCGTCTAAAAGATAAGACACCATTATTAATTGTTTATAAGTAAGCCATGAGAACCATTGGGTCTCATGGCTAGGGCCCATAGGAGTCGATATCCTGTTTCCGCAGCATGATGTACAAGTACACCCCCTGGACATGATGCTAGTATGTCGCAAGGGACTTAACCCAATCCAACCCTTGATACTGAGTGCCAAGCAGGGGAGATATCGGGTACCATTTTTAACAGTCTTGGTATGACTCGGTCGGCGATCAAACTCACAACCTCCCAATCTCAGGGCGGACACTAACCACAAGGCCACTGAGCTGCTATTAATTCTTTATATTGAACATGAATTTGGGAATTTTCCAAAAAAACCAACATTTAAGATGAGAAATACATACCATTCCTTGCTTTCTCTAATGGCATAGCGTGGTAGGGGCTGGAGTTATATGTTGGCAATCCTAGAAAAAGAGAGAAATAACTAAATAAGGCAAATGAGCACTATCAAAGTTGTTATCCATGAGCACCATATAGCAATTGCACCTAGCTAGCCCCATATAGTTACTTTCCAACTTTAGATAAAGGAGACCTATGGGATGAACACACTTGACTACCGAGTGAGTAATTAAAGAATAGTTTCCCACCTAAGGTGCTGATAATTCTGTGATCCAAAGATAAAAAAAGACATATATAGCCTATTAGTCTACTTAATAACGAGGGGTGCACTCAAGTGGCTGCCGATGACAATTTATTCAGGATACAGAAATATGACCAACGTTTCGGACAGACTGAAACATTGGGTCATATTTCCGGTGTCCTGAATAAATTGTCATCGGCAGCCACATGAATGTGCCAGACTTTTACACCATTAGTTTACTTACCATCATTACAGTGGTCCATTGACTGGTCCAACTCCGCCAAATAGCTTCCACAAAAGCCTACAATTAGAGAACACAAAACATGAACTATGAATGCTGTAACTCGGACAAAGCACATTTACATACTGTCCGCCCGAGGTAGTAGTGTGAAGTAGGGGTCGACCGATTATCAGAGGCCGATATTCCGCATTTTACAGATTATCGCTATCGGCCCTTTTTTAAAAAAGATCAAATTGCCGATAAAACTTTGGATCTGATGCGGCCGTTTCTCTGGTTGCAGTCACCACTCTGTGTTCACGAAGCAATGTCCCGATCCAATCTATCAGTTTCCAGTTACACAGGGTAGCGTCTCGCAGCGGATAAACTGTGAGGGGGGGGATTGCTAGTGGAGCCTCGCAGCAACTCTGCTTTCTGCACCACAATCTGGTGCTGCTGAATTGGGACTACTAAATGAGTGAGACTCAAATATCAGAAGTTCAGAACAAGTTTTAGTAGTTTTTATTTTATTTCTATTTCATTTACTTTACTCAGGGTCACAGAGAGGAAACCAATTTTAAGATGTTGAAAAGTTCATCAAACATAAAAAGGCATTTCAAAGAAGTTGTGTTGGAGTTTGTGTTATTCTACATTTTGAGACCAAGATTTTCTGATATTACTGCAAATGTATATCGGTTCCAAATATCGGTTATCGGTCTCGTTGATTACTAATAATCGGTATCGGCCTTGAAAAAGCCTATATCGGTCGATCCCTAGTGTGAAGTGGTTCACTTACCATTGTCAGCCTGGTGAATTGACAGAACATCCTCCGAGTGGCTTCCTCCAGAGGCTAAAAGGGAACAAAAGACAGGAATAATGGATGCTGTAACTTTTGAACACATATCACATGACTGATGTTTGAATGTATTGATGGAGGAACTAAATGCTTGTAAATTAAAGCTCACATGCAATTACATATTGTTTCTGCCATTTTAATAAGTAATGACATACCACTGCTTGCATTTGGGGTTGGTCCTGAGGGGTACTGGCTGGATTCTGGGAGCACTGTAGGACAATGAACATCAGGTGGCTTGGCAAATCTTCTCTTCACACAGCTGGTTTCTGACTCCCCATCTGACTCCATGTACACAGGATTTGGCCTGGAAAATAAAAATGAAACATTCCCATTAATTGAACTAATTTGCCCCATGGCCCATTTCTGTAGAATGAGGCCGCTTGACGTACAGGTACACAGAGATGACACTAGTCTATCACAGGACTGGAGGTGGGGTTTTTACTTATTGTTTACACAGAAACCAAGGATTATATATTTCAAGAGGGAGCGATCAAAGTAAACATCCTAAGCCTGCTTCCTCCACATTGGGAGTGCTATGACCACTTTTCCATTGCATCTTATGAGCGGTTGGGTTCTTTTGGTTCCAGCCTATGCACGCATACTGGTTCTTATCAATGCGACGTTGTCTGATAAGGGTTAAAGTCAGGCCAGACATGGAACCTGACCTCCTACAGGAATTCAACTGTACCTTACTCTTCTTTTCCCACGTTCACTTGCTTCATCCTCAGAGCTCAGACATCCAGTATTCACATACTTTTCTTCGTATCGTTTGGCCTTTTCCAATGAGTCTGTAAAAGAAAAAGCATAAAATAATAGGATGACATTTTACTGACTAGTCTCACTTGTGACAGATATGTCATATGTGGTATGGCACCACACACATTCAAACTGCCATCCATAAAACGTGTGGATACCTATATACTTGAAAATAGACAATAGTAATGCAGTGACTACTTACCACAAGTAATCAAGAGCCGGACATTCGCATATGTGGTCCATCCTTTATGGGCCGTCATGTGTTCTTTAAGGGCCTTCAAATACATGTTTTTTGGGGGCCATAACAATTTACCTTCCTTTAGACTGAACCAGCTGGCAAGAACTGTTGCAGCTCCGCCATTTGGAAAAAGTACAACGGCCCAAAGCACCACCTCCCTTTCCATTCTATATACAATAAAGGAAATAATGTAAATGATTAAAAAAAAAACCTGCTCATAAATCATAAGATGTCATTTACTCGCCCAGCAGTATGAGCGGTATGCTACTGCATATGAGCTATTGGAATAGCTATGAGGCCATTTCCTTCTGACTCTGGATACAGAACACATTTACGTTTGATACATCCAAGTTTACCAACCCCGATATTGTCACACAACTCTCTAACCTTGTATGTACCTATGCATGAGGACTCGCAGGGATAAGTGTAATATGATTCTTGGTGTCTGAACCTTTTGTAGATCACATATACCTCATCTTCTTCCTGGACTATATTCTGCACTACTGCAATACTATGTCCCACCTCAATACAATTATCCCCCTGCTTTGTAGACAAGGTAAAACGACTACTGGAGACCTTTGTGTACTGTACAGCAACACCGAAATGTTGAGGGAGTGGACCATCAGTGTGGATTTTCTGTAAGACTGGTTCATCTGTTGGTAATGGAACCTCACAACGTGGCTGTTCTGACAACCTTTTGACCACCTGTTGTAGAGGTTGGTGTGGCTTGCGTAAAGATGCTTTATTTGGCCAAGATAATTCTCAAAAGGGAATCCTGAAACATTATCTAAAGGTCCAAATTGTTTGTATTCATCGGCTAAATGTATAAGCTGGTGTACACTGAACACAATCTGATCCCTGCCATACAACTGTCCAAAGTGTTCCACAAAGGAAATCATCAATCTATGCGCTAATTCAACCTTTTGGCCAGAAATTCCAGGAGACAAAAACAAATACATGGCCACTGAAAACAACATAAAGTTGTCATAAATCTCACTGGGAAGGCAATCCTTCAGAACTACAGGGCCCCAGTACAGTATGAAGGATCGGAGCTCTGTAGCTTTCCAACGATCCAGCTCATTCAAACCCCTTGGCTTGCGATTGAATTCACAAGGGGTGTGGGAATGTAACCCCAGCAGTTTGCTTGATATACTGTTAACAGTTTGTGAAGGAAGCCTAGTGGCTAGATTGCCCTTTAACCACATATTCAACAGTTTTCTCATCACACCAAGACAACAGAGGTGCATATAATCTATTGGGAATGAAGAAACCATCTTTACTGTCCCTGTTAAAGGACTGAGTGTCTGTTTCAAGTGATGTTCTTCATCTATCATATCACAATAACTTGAGTCTGTCCTGAGCCTGACATTTGTTTCAGGATAAAGTCATTTTCTTCCTCCACACAACCATGTTGATCACACTTGTCACACCCTGAATAGCCATTATGTGACTTGATATTCTTAACGTAGGCTCTGGCTGGAGCATCACACACAAATGAGGAAACCAGTACTTTCAATCGGTTACCATTATGAACAACGCCATTAGCCAGAACATTTTTAAGGTCGCTAATAAATTGCTGCAGATACTCAACAAGACACTTGGGCTTGCTTAAAGCCACAAAAGATACCGACAATAATGGGGACTTAGTATAATCACATTTCAGAATTGCAAGTATAGGCCAGAATTGAAGTCTTGAACTCTTAAAGAGAGGGAGACCATCTATGTTGAACTGTAAAGTAAGAGTTCTGAGGCTCACTGGTAAACTCAAACATTTCAATCGTGAAAGTATCCCTTGCACCAATCCAAAATGGTAGTACTCGCCACCTTGCATTTGAGTGGTTGCAACATCATGTTGTGTTCTAAGCAGAGTTCTTCCATCCTTAGGGAGCATAGGGTGAAAAAGCTTTAAGATGGACAGCAGAGCAGACAAAAGCAACCAGACTGATTGAGTAGGATGTTGCCCAATATCTTAGGCTCCTCATAAGCAGATCCTGACTAGGCTGATGCTCGTCATGGCTGTCGGAGTCAGAATCTGATTCAACATTCCCAGCCACACTACCATCAGTATGATCATTTCCCATTTGTACATGATCTGATTCAACGTCATCATCTCCAGCTAAACTACCATCAGTATGATCATTTTCCATGTGTACATGGGAAGCTAGGTGGTGTATCTAGTTGGGAAACGTGTGAGATTCTGAAGGGTGGTTCCCTATTCACACAGGGGTCTAAATGTGACTTGTTATTATAAAGAGTTTCCTCGTATTCCTTAAGGATATCTTTCTCCATGTCCCTTACAGTTCTGAATGACTCTACGTCTTTTAGACCAATAAGAAGCCATCTTAGGTAAAGAGAGGTGGCAGCTGCTAAAATTACTTTACTTGGCCTTGTGTATTGCAGTGATCCCCTTGACTCGTCTTGTAGTATAATCCTGAAAATGAGGAAAACAAGCAGATTAAAAAACAGTATGCATAAACTAACAGTACAAATATATATCAGCCTCCTGGTGCAATGCAAATATAACTGTACTGACGAAATTCCCTAGAATGACACGTTTTATTCCATGGGTCTTCAACCAGGAGTCCATGACCCCTAGGACATACATTTTACCCAAATATCCTATATGATGCTTTAGCTTGACTGTATCAGACCAACTTTGATGTAATTTCTGTAGGATGTAGGGATGCCAGAAACTGACCATGATCAAAATCGGCGGGGTCGGTGTGTGGCAAGCTGCAGCAGCAGTCTGCGCAGGGCAGCCTGCGCTGCTGGCTTCCTCCAAGTTTTACAGTCAAAACTGGTGGTGTGACCAATGGCCATTTACAATTATTAATACTATTACTATTATTAGTCTATATTTTGGTTGAAACTAAGCCAGAAAAAAAACAAAAAACATAAACAATAACAAAATATATAAATAAAATCGAATTTTAAAAATAATCTTCGATTATGGAGACTGTAACGAATAATAGATTAATCGCTGGCATCCCTAGTAGGATGGTAGAGTTTAATGTCAGATTGTGTTAGCTAGTGTATCTGCTGCGTTAGCTAGGTGCTAGCCAGGGCAAGAAAATATCAACTGCGTCATGCGATGAACTGTTTAATTAATTTATGATATAGGCTATATTATAAAAAAAGATATGCACAATTTCACCCAAATATCCTAAATAATGCTTTATCTTGACTGCATCAGTGGACACTTTATGTAATTTCTGTAGGATGGTAGAGTTTAATGTCAGATTGTGTTAGCTAGCGCTGCGTTAGCTAGGTGCTAGTCAGGGCAATAAAATATCAACTGCGTCATGGGATGAACGACGTTAAATTCGTTGATGATATATATTATTATAAGTAATTAGTTCCCTATTTTGCGCTCTGAATAGCCTAAAAAAACATAACAGGGTGTAACTGAGGTGAACATATAGAGTAGGCATGCACAACGGTCACGTTACATTTCTTACCGATTTGTGATATCTGTCTCTTCTCTTCAGGCAACTGAACTGCCTGCCTTCCTCCACACCCTGAGGTGTACGCTCTTTCACGTGACCAACGTGCTTTCAAGATTAAGTGCAACGTGCAACAGGCATGACGGGTAATCTGTGACGTTTCGCTCTCTCAAAACTTGGGCCATTTTGTCTTCATGCACAGCAGCTCTCATAGGAAATAACCAGACCCCGCCTCCGACGCTGGATCATGATCTCGCCCGAGAGGGGATAGCGCCACACGTTGAAACAATGTCAATTCAATGTAGGGAATTTCAACGTTGAAAAACCGGCATCTATATTACATTGATTCAACAACATTTTTTCAAACGTTGAAATGGTATCTGTAAAAACACATCGAATCAACATTGATTTTTCAACCTCAACCAAAAATAACCAATCTAACCAAAATCCAATGTTGAATTAATATCTTTTGCTATCTGGGGCTAGGGACATGCACGTCCCTCTGAGCTGAGTTATTGACAGATTCGAATTTCGCGGATCAATAACTCATGAACATAACGTTGTAAAAATACAAACAACATGACTTTACAATCATAGCAAGGTAGACAACGAGCTACAGAGTCGTTTTTATCAGAACAGTTCGATACGCGCCGTCATCCGAGCTAAACATCAATAATTTGTCACAATCTGCAGCTTGAGGAGGGAGAGGAGTGCTTAGGGACCGTCTACAAACTGCAACGGGGTTTTGCGAGATCTCGCAAAGGTTTTGCGATATTTCGCAACATTATTATTATTTTTCAAATACATTAATTTTTCTTCTCCATGTCCCCGAGGGGGCTCCGTAGGAACCTGCCCAAGCAGAGATTTATAAATAAAACCCAACGGGAAAGTCTGCAAAGTATCCAAACTCTTTAGGCACTGGTCAGAGGCATTCAAATAAAGCAGATCACCATAATCCAATACAGGGAAAACGTTGCCGAGATCAAATGTTTCCTTGGAAGGAGAAACAGGATTTGTTTCTATGAAAGAAACCTAATTTTTTTATTTTTAGCTTTGAAACAACATTTTCCGTGTGTAACTTGAAAGACAAGTTCTGGTCAATAATAAACCCCAGATATTTGTAAGTAGTGACCCTTTCAATATCAGTCCCTTGAACAGTACAAATCTTGAATAGAAGGTAACTTTTTGCCATTTGAAAATATCATCAGTTTGGATTTGTCTGCATTTAATACTAACTTGAGTTGATATAAATGGGTTTGAACAACATCAAAGGCAGACTGGAGGAAATCAAGACTTTGCTCTAGAAGCGGAGTAACTTTGTCTAATACCTCCAAGATGTTTCCTTTGTACTGTTTTTAAAAATGTTTTAAAGCTAATAGACAATTAACATATCCTACAACTCAACACAGGCCAATACAAAAGTTCAAATTAATACTTGAGTATTTCCATTTTATGGTGCTAGGCCAAATGCTACTCATTAAATAATGAGTATTATATTTTGGTAGTTTTTTCTAAACCAGTATTTTAAGACGTTTACTACTCAAACTGAAAACAACACTTTTTGGATATTGAGTCAGGTGTTGAGTATTATTCCAAATCCCAAATGAGTGGATGTACATTCCCCAGAAGTTATATTAACCACACATAATTAGCAGGTCAGAGGTGTAAAGTAACTAAGTACATTGATTCAAGTACTGTACTTAAGTAAAATGTTGAGATACTTGTAGGCTACTTTACTTTAGTATTTCAATGTTTTGCTACTTAGTAATTCTACTCCACTACAATTCAGTTGCAAATCGTGTACGTTTACTCCACTACATTTATTTTGCACCTTTAGTTACTTTACAGACTTGGATTAATAAAGTGAAATAAAAACACTTAAATAAGACTTTAGTTAAACCTGGAGTAGCATTCACAAACTACCTTACAGTATACAAAGTAAATAAAAGAGCTAGCTGCACCTTTCCCAGCTTTAATAAACACATTATTCCATCCATAATTATAATCAAATCATATGATCTGAAATGGGCAGATCTGCATAATGAGTAGGTAGTATTTTGATGCCAATACTTTTGTACTTTTACTTGAGTAACATTTTGATTGTAGGTCTTTTAATTGTTATAGAGTATTCCTACACTCTGACCCTGGTACTTGTACTTTTACACAAGTACTGTACAAGATCTGAGTACTTCTCCCAACTCTGCAGGTAATATAATTGTAGAAGACGTAGACAGGCCTGGAACTGCATCCTTCTTCACTTGACATAAATCCCTCCCGCCAAAATAGCGTCACGGGAGTGGGGCAGACTCGGGCAGACTCCGCCCTCTCATGAACACCTTCTCACTACTTATTTTGTCAGTCCTCCTCCTCCATTCAGTGACAGTAATGATACTCAAGTCTGTCTTGTGTGGCTTGTTTTGTTCCAATAATGACTGACACTGGAGAGGGCGACGAAGAGTTCCATTTTCTACGAACGGTGAGAGTGACATTTTTTGGCAAAAGTTTTACCCAGAGGAATGATGTGTGGGTTAGCAAACTAGCTAACAAGCTAATTAGCTAGCTCAAGCTATGTCAACAATTATTAATTTTCTAAGCTCTTTGAAAGGAACCATTGACATAAAGTGTTATATTTTTTATGTAAAACCACTTAACTCACAATTATATAACTATGAATTGTGTATGTTGCTAGTCCTCAGGAGTGTAGTATTGTCTTAGGATACAAACATAATAAAGTTAACTTCTAATTAAAGTGTCCAAATATTTGAAAATGTTTGCTAGTTAAGTTACCTTACATTTCTGTGAAGGCGAAACGTTAACTCTGGCAAACCTTAATAAAAAAAAACCCCACCTAAATGGCTCCAGAATAATTTATTGCAATATTGTATCACTGGCATTTTCTTTATAAACTGTACCCTGTGTCCTTTTGTGTTCTTCTATAGTCCATTTCCTGTTGTTTGTCTTGTTTTACCCCGGCTTCACTAAACCCACTGTTTTAATTGTTCCCTATATTGCCCCTATGCCCTGTAAGGTGTCCTTGGGTGTTATAAAAGGCGCCCCCCAAAATAAATGTATTATTATCACCCCAATTTTAATATTGTCTACTCGTTAGTTACTTATTTAATACAGATTAACAATTCAAAAAAATCTCCTCTAAAGGCAACGTTTTTAACAGTGTTGTTGTATTGAAATAACGTTTGATTTATATTTAAATAACATGAATGTAACATTAACAACATTTAATTAAAAAATGTTTTTTGCACAGCTCCCAGCAGCATTATTACTATCTTCATCAGTTCAGTTTAAAAGAATACCACAAATGGTTTGCAAGATGCTATCATGCTCCCTGGTTGTAAGTTGTCCTTTCACTGCTTGTTATCTTACCCTGTGATAAGTGCATGTCACAGGGAAGGAGAGTGTCTGTTGTGGATATGAAACACCACACAGGCAGTGATTCAGATGGTTACTGACCCAGTATCCACAAAATGAAATTACATTGTGGATATCTGTGTCATACATCATTAAATTAGCCACCCAGATCCTGACAAATCATGCCCCACGCTCAATGTCTCTATTAGACATACTAGTTAAATATATGACGTGTGAGATAGCACCTTTGCTTTTTCCTTTGAAAGTCACCGTTTTATGTTGTAAGTGTATTACTGTCCTTATGTTGATGGGGGTGGTCTTCATATGAAGCAAGGTGTTTCTGCTTTATGAACTTGGTTGTTCAATCGTCAGGCCTTTTGACTTTTGGAATAAGTCTTGTGGCGCAGTGAATTTTCACTTGCGAAATGTACCTTGAAGAAGAGCCGAGTGCTTTAGCCATCTGAATGCCCCACAGCTTCTCAGCACTGGACAGTGTGTGTGACTGATTGCAGAGTACTGCTGATATGAAGAGTGGAAAGCAGGGTGAATCATGGGTCAAACTGTGCAGTGTCTTCCCAATATGGAGGTATGCAGCCCTGGGTATGGAGAGGTGTTGCTCGTCGTGGCTGCATTTTGGATAGCAGTCGTCTGTTGTCCCTTTCTTCAGTACCTTAAATAGATGTGAAAAGCCTGATTCCTCTGATATGGTCAATTTGGCATTTACATCAAGATAAGATCCATTTAGCTGAGAGATACTGTAAAAGCATTTAGAGTAAGGCTGGACTTACTCTTTGGTGCATTTGTAAACACGCTATGACAACTCAGGTTTTGTGATATTTGTTAGCTATTTTTGGGTTAGGATTCCTAATAGCCATATTCATGCTTGCCTTGATGAGCATGTTGGTTCACTAATAAATATTTCTATTAATATTAAACAATAGTAAGCTGTAGGATCTGATATAGCAAAGGCTGCTTCAAAGCTTACATTTTTGAGGGCTTGAATTATCTTTTTGTTCCTGGGTTTATAATTGATCTGTTTCAGCTTTGGCCTTCACAAACAAATCATATGAATCTTAATTTGCATTTGTTCTATTGATCTACTTTTTTCTTTTATACTTTTGAGATTGTGCTTACTGCTGGCTTCTTTCTGTGTGTTTTTCTCAGGGAGATGAGGTGGTTTTGCAGAGTACCTTCACCTCCCAGGAGGAACATGTGAAACTCTGTCTTGCTGCAGAGGGCTTTGGCAGCCGACTTTGCAGGCTTGAGCCCACCTCTAATTGCAAGGTAAAGAGCTCCATCTCAAAGTCTTTTCACATTCCCAGAGAGGTCTAATTGTCAATTACTGTCACTTAAAATATGGAATGATAGAAGAGAGATGCATAACATGATGCAAATAATTCTCTAATGTTTTATAATATATATTTTTTTAGTAAGATTAATTGAATAAAGTCAATCAAACATTCAAAAAATAGAATTGGGAACACAATTTGTTAACCTACAACTGTCTTTCAACGTCTCTAAATGAATACCTAATCACATTCAATATTTTATAATAATGTTGAAGTCCTCTTGTGTGCCAGATTTTCCTCTTTATACCCGATTTAGACTGCCTAATTCCCAAATGTCTGTGGTCCTTGTCACTGCTTACAGGAGTTTTGCCCTGTGGAGGGTTGGATATAAAGCTGCCGCAATGACA